TACCAGTTGTAGTTTGTAGTTTCCAGTGTTACAGTTCTGCTTCTTGCTGGTTACTGTAACTAGTTGATGGACCGCGCGAGGGGAGGGAGGCCCAAACCAGATTTTTAGCACCACCTGGGCGCGTTGTCTGAATTGCTGGGGGGGCTCAAAATCGACACCCCTCACGCAGATCCGCGGGGTCAGGGTCCAAAAACACAAGGGATTTGCCACATTTCTGAAATTCGGTGCCACCCCTCACGCAGATCCGCGGGGTCAGGGTCCAAAAACACAGGGGATTTGCCACATGTCTGAAATTCGATGCCACCCCTCACGCAGATCCGCGGGGTCAGGGTCCAAAAACACAGGGGATTTGCTACATTTCTGAAATTCGGTGCCACCCCTCACGCAGATCCGCGGGGTCAGGGTCCAAAAACACAGGGGATTTGCCACATTTCTGAAATTCGGTGCCACCCCTCACGCAGATCCGCGGGGTCAGGGTCCAAAAACAAAGGGGATTTGCCACATTTCTGAAATTCGGTGCCACCCCTCATGCAGATCCGCGGGGTCAGGGTCCAAAACCTGCTCTTCCATGGCCCATTCTCCGAGAGAGGGGGCCGGCGGCAGGGGGCGAAGCCCTTACGGATCTGCATCATCCTATTCAGCATCACCCCCTTCGCCCTCATTAGCATCGTCACCATCGTCATTACAATCAGCATCATCAACGACAGCAGCATCAACATCACCATGGTAAGCATCATCACCACCATCATCAGCATCCGAATCATCATAATGCTTGTCATCACCATCATCGGCATCATCATCGTCATCATCAGCAGCATAATCACCACCATTTCCCTCACAAGTTCACACACCTCCCCGTCCTCCTCTCTCTGGCTGCGCCTTCCTCCCCTCGTCCGCAGAATCCCCAAAAGCCCTCAGAAAACACAAATAAGAATTTGATCCCCGCACCTCGATCCTCTCTCTCTTCCATCATCACGCTCCCCCCTCCCCCCCGCCCCACGTTTCCCCAGGGCGGAAGACATACCTTCCACGGCACCAGCACCGGACCCGTTTTGGGGTCTGGAGTTCACTTGGACCAGGCTTGCTAGGAGTTCTTCTCCCCTCTTCCTCCCTTGCCCCCCGGCAACGTGCCAATTCATGATAGATTCGGGTGTTATTGTGATCTTGTTGATAGGCTTCGGGAAAGGATCCTCTTGAGCACACGGTATTCTAGAAATGATCCCAGATTCAGTCTCGGAGAGGATGCACTTGATGTCATAGCTAATACGTATGTTTAGTGGATCTGCTACCAAAGATATGCACGCGCGCGCCGGCCAGCCGACCCGAGGGAAGGCGGGGGCGCGCGCGATATCTTACCTCTAAGCAGAAGTGGCCGCGCATGGTAGCGCAAGGTAGCGCAATGTCAATGTTCATACGACGGCTGCGCCCACCTCATCTGGAAGGCAAAAGCGGTGCAGAAAAAGGTAGCGAAAGGAGCGTAAGTTATGACTCCCCCCACGGCTGGCCCGGCGCGGGGACTCCGCTGACGGGCGGGGGGCGCACCAGCCCGAGTTCGGCACGCCCCAAGGGCATTGAGTCAGCCTTTACCCCTTCCCAAGACACTTCGGCCCCCGCGGCGCCAACCCCAAAAAGATTTCACAGCGCGCGCGGAAGGGAAGGGAGTACTCCTGACACAGCCCTGGGGGACAGGCCGAAAAAACCGGCGAGCCCCACGTAGACAGAAGCGCGCTGGCGCACGCCGCCCAGCGATCGGCCCACAAACCATCACAGCCTGCCGCCACGCCGCGGCCCACGCCAGAACGCTCGGAGCATATAGCTCAAACACGTCCGGGGAACACTCAGAGCACAGCTCCGAAATGCCCCCCCGGCCTCTCTCTCTCTCTCTCTCCTCTTTTCACGAGCGCCTGTCCTCGCTCTTCGTCGCGGCCCAATTTGCTGCGCCAGCTATGCCAGTTACCCGAGCCCCACCCTGAGCTCCGCCACGGAGGGCGCGGATCGTCCACCTCCTCCGCAGCCCTCAATCGGATGTCCGTGTACTGGCACCTCCCCGCTGGGGGGTTTGAGGCAGAACTCGAACGTGCTTGCTGCCGCCGACAGCGGTGGCCGGGGATGGAGCTCCCAAAGCGTCGGCCCCGCCTCTCGGCGACGCGCGACAGCCCGCCGATTCGCGGCCCTGACTTCCACGACGCCTCACTCCTTCATCTCTGGCGCCTCCTTGCCCTTTGCCTGCAGTGGGCATGCGCGCCGTCGGCGGGCGGTCCCCGGGCTGGGTCGATGACGGGCGGTTCCCGCCCTATTTGCCACGGGCGCGAGAGCCCCCGGCACTGCCGACACAATCGGCAGGTGCCGGGTCGTCTACCTCAGCAGCCGCAGCGTTGACTTCTCCCCGCGGCCCCCCATGTTGTCGGCGACGGCTCCTGAGCCGATATCGGAAATGACCCCAAACCACAGGCCTCGGAGTCACCCCCCAGATGAAGCTCAGCAGACGTTTCCTGGATCAGGCGGAGAATCCACTTGACTGACCCCCCACCCTTCCGACGAGACGGAAACTTGGTCATCCGTTTCTCTATCCGGAGAGACCGATGAAATCACGCAGGCTTGATGGACGACGGGCGACAATGGTTCCTCGTCCAAGTTGCTTGACACATACCATTCGGCGTCAGCCTCCGCCTTGTCTGCATCCGCTCGTGGCGTGTCACGACGGCCGGGGCCTCCTTCTGCCGGCGCATCTCCCGACGACAATGAGGATCTTTTGCCGAGGAACGCGAGTCGGAGCCCCTGACACAGTCAGAGGACTCGGGCTCGAGGACGAGCTCTGGCATTCCTTTTCCTCTTGAGCCGTGGCATTGCTCTACATGTTTTCGTACATCCACCTCCGAGACAGGAAGCACAATTTCGTGATCTGGTCGTGAAACCTTGAGGTAATGACCAGCACTTTGCCGATTCATCATGGATTCGGGCATTATCTGGATCCCCTTAACAGGCTCTTTGTCTGGATGCTCTCGTACATGATGTTCTAGCAGTGGTCCCTGATTCAGCCTCGGAGAGAACGTACTTGATGCCATGGCTAATATGTCCGCTAAGCGGATCTGCTACAAGAGATGTGCGTATGCGCCGGCCTGCCGACTGGAGGGAGGGCGGGCGCGCGCAGGATATTTTACATTTAAGCAGAAGCGTCTGCACACGACAACGCAATGTCAATATTGATCAAATGGCTACGCCAACCCTTATTTGGAGGGTAAAGACGGAGCAGACAAAAGCAGAGAAGGGAGCGTCAGGAATGACTCCCTCCCTGACCTTCTCTTCCTCCTGCTCGACGCAAACCATCCAGCAAACTATTTCGTTAGGAGAAGGGGGGAGAAGAGGCGAAAGGGAGACCGCGCCAACGAGTGACCACCACGAGGAGCTGGCAGGCCATCCTGCCACAGGACCGTTCTCGTCCTGACTCCCACTCTCACGCATGACATCCCGGCCCTCCAGAATACCTCTTGCGGCAGGCGCAGTAGAAGCCTCACGTGTTTTGGTCAGCCTGGGAATGACGAGGACGAAATCCGAGGCCGTCTTCTTCCTCCTCCACGATCCTCCTCCTCCTCCTCCACATCCTCCTCCTCCTCCTCCAACTCCACTCTCTCCTCATCCTCCTCATCCTGCTCATCCTCCTCTTCCTCCACATCCTCGATTATCCTCCTCATCGTCCTCCTCCTTCTCCTCTCCCCCCTCCCTCCCCTCCCTCGTCCTCCTCCTCCTCCTCCTCCTCCTCCTCCTCCTCCTCCTCCTCATCATCATCATCATCATCATCATCATCATCATCATCATCATCATCATCATCATCATCATCATCATCATCATCATCCTTCTCCTCCTCCTCCACTCCTTCTCTGTATGATTAACTCATCCCTGTCGCACCCCGAGGCCGGTCAGAAGGGCGAGCTGGGCGTTTCGCCTGAGACTTCCTCACCAGTTATGATCCTGAAGCTTACAAGTTGCAACAAGTTCAAGGATAGAGGGCGGGTGTTTTGTTTAACATGTTGTTCTCGCCCTAGCGCCACGCACATCCATCCTAAAAGATGCAAGAACTTCACGGATTGAGGGTGATCTGCTCTCAAAATATGATAATCGCCTTAGCGCCGCGCACATTCCCCCAAGAAGCCCCCAAGAGGCCTCCAAAAGGCCTCATCCTCCTGCTGCTCCTCCTCCTCCTCCTCCTCCTCCTCCTGCTGCTCCTCCTCCTCCTCCTCTTCCTCCTCCGTCTCCTGGCCCTTCATCGCAGTCGTCGTCGTCGTCTTAAGGGTCGGCGGCACCGGCCGCAAGGCCTTCGCAATATGATGGTCGCCTTAGCGCCGCGCTCATTCGTCTGAAAAGTTGCGAGGGCTTCACGGATGGAGGGCGGGTCGCTTTTAAAATGTGGCTCTCGCCTCAGCGCCGCACACATTCATCTCAAAATTAGCAAGAGCTTCACGGATGGAGTGCGGGTCGTGTTCAAAATGTGGCTCTCGCCTCAGCTCCGCACATACGTTTAAGAGTTTACAGCAGCGTCAAAACTCTCATGGTTAACGTCCCAAAGATGGTGTTTTGGCACGATGTCGGAACGTCAGGGCGCAACAGGTACGTTGATTCGTGGAGTTGAAGTCCCAGGATGGCGTTCTGGCGCGACTAAGAATTTTCAAACAGCTGTCCTTCAACGGGGCTTTTCCTGAGTGGATACGGATCCTCGTAGGGACCCATGAAGAGGGAGCATGGAGGGAAGAACTACTGCAATGCCGTTGACGCGTCTTGGGCTTCGACTGGTCCTCCTCCTCCTCCTCCTCCTTCTCGTCTTACCCCTCCCGCCTCCTCCTCTTCCTCCTCCTTCTCCTCCTCCGTCTCCTCATTATCATCCTTATCCCCCTCCTTCTCGTCCTCAACTTCCTCCTCCGTCGCCTCTTCATCGATCCTCCTCCTCCTCCTTCTCCTACTCCTCCCCTCCTTCCTTGCCCCCTCCTTGCCCCTCTGGCGCGAGCCTGGCTCGTTTGCCTGCCGACGCGGCGGCTGACCTGGCTCCGCCGGCACCGCGCCCGGGCCAGCCCATTGGACGAGGAGGAGGAGGAGCAGGAGCAGGAAGCTGACGCTACGATTCCAGTTGATCAAATTGTGCCGAACGTCCAAGAAGTAGGAGAGGCGGAGAAGACTTGCCTTGGGGGAACAGGAGGAGGAAAGAGAAGGAGAACGACGAGGAAGAGGAGGAGGAGGACGCCGACGAGAAGGAGAGTGAGACGAGGAGTACATGCGAGGAGGAGAATGAGGATGGGAGGGGAGGGGTAGGAGGATGAGCAGGACGAGAAGGGCTAAGAGGGTACCCAAATTTCGAAGACTAAGGATCAGGCTCTCCAGATTTCGGACCCCATGCCTTGAGGCGGCGGAAGACCGAGGAGGGGGGAAAAGATGCACGTCGTCCAAACAGTAAGACTATTGCTGCCAAAGTCGGTCCAGTGTAAATCCGCCGATCCGGCGTGTGAGTTTCAAGGAGTCTCAGCTACAGCCTCGAGGCTGAGCCTCAGCCTCTGGGGGGGTTGCCAGGGTGGCTCTGCCGGGGAAGGGGGGGGGGGGACGAGTTTTCCGGCGGTCGCGGAGGGCTGCTTTTACAGAAAGCTCTAATCTCGAGGATGCGCTGAAAGGGTGGCCGCGGCCGCACAAGTCTCTGAGGACGGTCTAAGAAAGTCCCGAGACCCCGGAAGATCGTCCGAACACGCCCAAGATGGCCCCAAGACGGCCCAAGAGCCTTCCAAGACGCCTGAAGAGGCCTCCAAGAGTCCCACGAGGGCACCCAGAGGCAAAAATCGTTGATTTCCATTGGTTTTTGTCAATGTCTTTTGGGTTGTCGTTTTTTCGGCTTTCCGACGCTCCAAGACGGCCCAAGAGGCCCCCAAGACCGCTCGAAGACGGCCCAGGAGGCCCCCAGACAGTTCCAAGACGGCCCAAGAGGGCCCCAAGGCGGCCCAAGAGCCGCCCAAGACGGCCCCCAAGACGGCCCCAAGAGGACCCAAAAGAGGGACGAAAAGCGGAAAAAATCTAGCCTTCCAGCCCACGAGGCCCCCAGGAGGCCCCAAGAGCCCCCAAGAGGGCCCCCACAAGCCCCCAAGAAGCCCCCACGACGCCCTGACAGGCTCCTAAGATGGCTCAAAAAACGCCCCAAGAGGGCGTCCTTGCGCCGATAGGCTCGCCTCCACCGCTCGCACCACGTCGTCCAGGCCACATGTTTCGTAACAAGACTCCGTGCAAGACGTATCGTGAGTTTCCGAAGTGATCGGCGCCCGGATCGGCGGCACTGGCCGAAGGCCACTACAATAGGAGTAAAGCGAGGAGTGTTGAAGGAAGGGGATGAGGTAGCAAGGAGGAGCAAGGATGGGAGGAGGCAAGGAGAAAGAGGCAAGGAGAAGGAGGAGCTTGTAGGGAGGAGGAAGGAGGAGGAGAATGAAAGAGCAGCGGCAGGAGCAGGAGAAGGAGGCTGAGGCGGCGGAGAAGCGGAATGAAAGCAGGGGGGAGGGCGAGGATGGAGAAGAGGCAAGGGGAAGCAGGATGGGGACAGGAGGAAGGAGAGACGATGACAGGAGAGAAGACAATAATAGAGAAGGCGAGGCGGAATTGTAATCACATCATCATCATCATCATCATCATCAGCATCATCATCATCATCATCATCATCATCATCATCATCATCATCATCATCATCATCATCATCAGAATCATCAGAATCATCATCACCATCAGCATCGTCATCATCATCAGCATCATCATGATGCCTCCTCCTCCTCCTCTTCCCCCTCATCCTCCCGTTCCCTCCTGCTTCCTCCCTCCTCCTGCCCCCAGCCCCCGCGCCAACCCCCTCCTCCCCCCGACCCAACCCGTCCCTCCCCCCGACCCCCGACCCATCCACAATTACGCAATGTGACTACGACGATTATCTCGCCCTCGACAATGTCTCTTCATGGCAAGGCGTCTCCCGCGTTTGTTTCGTTCACACATACAGGATGTTACAATGCTGTCTATCATACATGTGCCCCATCAGACTGTTCCTGGTCATTCGAAACGGTGTTCCTGCTGGAGCTTTTGCATTGGGCGCGGCGGCGGCGGTGTAATTGTGGCGCGGCTTACGGAGTTTGAGCTCGCGGCTTGGGTTCGGGGTCTATAGTCCAGTGTCTAGGCCGGACATGGCGCGCTCGCCCCGGCGCGGCCCACACTTCGGAATTCGCGTCCTTCCTCGTCGTTGCCATCCCTCCCCTTGCTGTTTCCACCTCCGCCCTTTCCATGGTCCTGCTGCTGATCCTGTTCCAACTGACCCTGTTCCTGCTGCTGTTGCTGTTCCTCCCCCTCTTCCTAATCATCATCAGCAGCATCATCGTCAGCATCATCATCATCATCATCAGCATCATCACCATCATCAGCATCACCATCACCATCATCATCAGCATCAGCATCAGCATCAGCATCGTCATCAGCGTCAACATCGTCATCAACGACAACAACGACGACAATAACAACAGCAACAACAACAGCAGCAGCAACAAAAATTATCCGGGCGAAGGGCCCAACCATGTGCAGTTGTGAGTGACGCAATTGGTGGTATCGTCTTCGGTGGAGCTCCCCATGGGGCCATGAAGCGTGTGAGGGATGTGCCGACATGGCTGCGGTGGTGTCATGCGAGCGCAGCCACTGGGGCTTTCGGTGGAGCTCCCTATGGGGCCACGAAACGTGTGAGGGGTGTGCCGACATGGCTGCGGTGGTGCCATGCGAGCGCAACCACTGGGGCCGTCGGTAGAGCTCCAAACGTGTGAGGGGTGTGTCGACATGGGCGCGGTGGTGTCATGCGAGCGCAGCCACTGGGGCCTTCGGTGGAGCTCCCTATGGGGCCACAAAACGTGTGAGGGGTGTGCCGACATGGGTGCGGTGGCGTCGTGCGAGCGCAGCCACTGTGGCCTTCGGTGAGGCTCCCTACGGGGCCACGAAACGTGTGAGGGGTGTGCCGGACTTGGCGCGGTGGTGTCATGCGAGCGCAGCCATTCGGGCCTCCGGTGGAGCTCCTTATGGGGCCACGAAACGTGTAAGGGGTGTGCCGAAATGGGTGCGGTGGTGTCATGCGAGCGCAGCCACTGGGGCCTTCGGTGGAGCTCCCTATGGGGCCACGAAACGTGTGAGGGGTGTGCCGACATGGGTGCGGCGGTGTCATGCGAGTGCAGCCACTGGGGCCTTCGGTGGAGCTCCCTATGGGGCCACAAAACGTGTAAGGGGTGTGCCGACATGGGTGCGGTGGTGTCATGCGAGCGCAGCCACTGAGGCCTTCGGTGGAGCTGCCCATCAGGCCACAAAACGTGCGAGGGGTGTGCCGAAATGGGCGCGGTCGTGTCATGCGAGCGCAGCCACTGGGGCCTTCGGTGGGGCTCCGTAGCGGGCCACGACACGTGCGAGGGGTGTGCCGACATTGGTGCGGTGGTGTCATGCGAGCGCAGCCACTGGTGCATTCGGTGGGGCTCCCCATGGAGCCACGAAAAAGGCGGGGGGGCGTGCCGCAAGGGCGCTGTCTCTTCAAAACGAGGACCCAACACCACAGGATGCTTGGGAACAACAACAGCAACAATAAGCACAACAACTAGAAGAATCACAACAACAACAACAACAACAACAACAACAACAACAACAACAACAACAACAACAACAGCACCAGCAACAACAACAACAGCAACAACAACAACAATAATAGCAGCAGCAGCATCAACAACAACAGCAACAACAACAAGAGGAGGAGGAACATCAACCTCAACATCAACATCAGCATCATCATCATCATCATCATCATCATCATCATCATCATCATCATCCTGCTCATCCTCCTCCACCTCCTCCGCCTCCTCATCCGGTTTCCCAACAGCATCACCACCGCCTTTTTCACAAGCCTCACCATAGCCACAGGCATACGCAAATGTGTAGGCACTACCATGCGCATAGACAATCAACATCGTGATCTGCACTACAAACAAGGACACAATCAACATCATTACCAGCATCCCCAGTATCAACATCATTATCATCAGCCATAGCAGAATCATAATCATCACCACCAGAAGCAACATCTTCGTCCTAATCGCCATCATCATCGCCATCAGCATGACCACCACAACCATCACATAATTAGCAGAACCAATATTTTCATCATCCCCACCAACAACAACAGCCATCGCCACCACAGACACCACCGTGATTCTCGGAATCACCGTATATCCCTGTTCCAGCTCCTCCTCCTCCTCCTCCTCCAACTGGTCCTCCTCCTCATATTCCTCCCCCTCGTGATCCGCATCATCATCGCAGTCGTCATCATCAACACCACCACCACCATCATCATCACCATCATCAGCATCATCGACATCGTCATCATCATCAGCAGCATCAGCATCATCATCATCATTATCATCCTCCTCATCCTCATCATAATCGTCACCATCATCAGCACCATCATCATCGTCATCGTCTTCGTCATCGTCATCACCACCATCATCATCATCATCATCATCATCATCATCATCATCATCATCAGCATCATCGCCATCATCATCATCAGCATCATCATCACCATCACCATCACCATCAGCATCATCATGATCATCACCATCATCATCATCAGCATAATCGTCATCAGCATCATCATCAGCATCATCATCATCATCACCAACCGAGTCCTCATCATAACTATCACCGTCATCACCATCACCATCACGATGACAATCACTATCACCATCACCACCACCACCTCTCCGCCTCCTCCAAATCTCCTCCCCCGTCCTGCGCCTCCTCCATCCCTCCTCTTCAGCCCCCTCCACCTCCCTCCTCCCGTAAGCGATGCAGGGCGAGGATGGCCTTGGTCCACCTTTGACTGACACTCGCACTGCTCTTCCTGCTGTGCGACCACGGCTTGGGGCCCGCGCGGCCCTGGCGGGGCAGCGCCGTCGTCGTCGTCGTCGTCGTCATCGTTGCCGTCGTCGCCGCCGCTGCCGCCGCCGCCGTCGTCGTTGCCGTCGCTCTCGCCGTCATCGTCGTCGTCGCAGCCGCCAGGGTGGCAGCCGCCGTAGCCGCCGTCCTCGACGTCGTCGTCACCATTCCCATCACTGTCGAAATCGCTACCGCCGCAGTAGCCACCGTCATCGCCACCGACATCGTCCTCGTCGCCGGCCCACCGCCTTTACACCATCCTCAGGCAAGATTTGCATCACTATCATCCTCATCACCAGCACAACCACCGCCATCATCGAAATTATCGGATAACCTTACATCCCTATTCCAACTCCTCCTCAACCAACTTGTCCTCCTCCTCCTCCTCACCTCCTTCTCCTCCTCCTGGCGACCCGCATCATCATCATCATCATCATCATCATCATCATCATCATCATCATCATCATCATCATCATCATCATCATCATCATCATCATCATCATCATCATCATCATCATCATCATCATCATCACCGTCGTCATCATCATCATCATCATCATCGTCATCGTCATCGTCATCGTCATCGTCATCATCCTCATCATCATCATCATCATCATCATCATCACCATCATCATCATCATCGTCACCATCATCAGCATCATCATCATCATCATCATCAGCAGCATTATCATCATCATCATCATCATCATCATCATCATCATCAAAATCATCATCATCGTCATCATCATCATCATCATCATCATCATCGTCGTCATCATCAGCATCATCATGAGCATCATCATCATTATCATCAGCATCAGCATCAGCATCATCATAAATACTATCATCATCGTCGCCATCGTCGTCATCGTCATCATCATCGTCATCAGCATCACCGACATTGTCATCATCATCATCATCATCATCATCATCAGCATCATCATCATCATCATCATCATCTGCATCAGCATCATCATAATCAGCAGCACCATCATCATCATCATCATCATCATCATCATCAGCATCAGCATTATCATCACCACCATCACCATCGTCATCATCAGCATCACCACCATCATCATCATCATCAGCAGCACCAGCATCATCATAAGCATCACAATCAACATCATCAACATCATCGGCATCGTCATCATCATCATCAGCAGCATCATCATCATCATAATCATCATCACCATCATCATCAGCATCATCATCATCAGCATCAGCATTATCATCACCACCATCACAATCACCATCATCAGCAGCATCATCGTCATCATCATCAGCATCAGTATCATCATCACCACCATCACGACCATCATCATCATCAACGATATCATCAGCAGCAGCAGCAGCATGAGCATCATCAGCATCATCAGCAACTTCAGCATCACCATCATCATCATCAGCAGCAGCATCATCAGCATCTTCATAATCACAATCATAATCAGCATAATCATCAGCATCATCAGTATCTTCATCTTCACCAGCATCATCATCATTATCACCATCGCCGTCGTCATCGTCGACACCATCATCAACGTCATCAACATCATTGACGTCATGATCACAGCCATCACCATCACCATCATCACCATTACCCATCACCATCATAAACATCATCATCAAAAATCATCATCCTCCTTATCAGCCTCATCATCACCAGCACCTTCACCATCACCATCACCATCGCCACCATCCCCACCACCACAATCATAATCATCATCATCATCATCATCATCATCATCATCATCATCATCATCATCATCAATCCGCCGAACCTTTTGGGACTACTCGGCATGTGAGAGACTTGCACCACCCCAAACCCTTCCCACGGGAGCTCGATCCGGCCTGTTTGGAGGTGGGGTCGGCCCGATTCCGCTGTGGGGCTCATTTGCTTCAGAAAGATCCCTGGACGGCCTCAGATTGGAATCGACACCCCAAGAAGCCTCAAGACGGCCCAAGATGGCCTCCACGTGGCCCCAAGTGGCCCCAAGACGCCCACAGATGGCCGTAAGATATTCAACAAAAAACCTAGACACACCCAGAGGGCTCCAAGAGGACTCCCGAAAGGTCCCTCAGAAGCATAAGCCGCCCTAATCCCTCAAGAAATATCTGTAGCACGAGCGCCTTCTGAGAGCAAGCCGCGTCCACGACGGCCTAAGGAGCCCCCAAAATCGCCCCGACACGGTCCAAGAGGCACCGAATAAGGCCCCAAGACAGCCAAGGAAGCCTCCAAGAGGGCCCCACGACGGCCAAAGAGGGTTCCACAGTGGTCCAAGAGGCCCCCTCAATCGGCCTCACAGAGGCCCCCAAAACGGGCTCCGAAAGCGCCAGGCGGCTCAAGCTCAAGGGCGCTCGAAGACGATCTCAGACGCCCCCAAGAGGCCCCAAGAAACCCCCAAGAAGCCATCAAAAAGCCCCCAAAAGGCTCCATGCCCCCAAGAGGCCTCCAGAGAGTTCCTGAGAGTCCCCAAATGCCCACGCTCCTCACACTCTGGACGCGCACCCTGCGAAGCGACCCGGGCGCATCAAGAGGCCTCCAAAAGGCTCCCCCATGGCTAAAGATCCGCAAGGGCCTTGAGGCTTAATTCCAGCCGTCGTCCTCCGAGCGCCTTTCTTCCCGTTGCGTTGCGTATCTTCGCGTCCCTCGGTCCTCTTCACCATCCCACCATTTCATCCTCGTCCTCCTTCTCATCCTCCTCCTTCCCTTCTCCCACTCCCTCCATCTATTCTCTTTCCTTGCATGCTCGAAGACCTCCTTTTTCGCTTGACATGCACCGCTATTTGGCGCGCGCCGGCTTCCTGCCATCCGCGCGGCGAACTCGCGGATCTACAACCCCGCTGGCATCAGACTCGTCTCGAGCTTCATGAGAATGCGTCGCGCTGGCCTTGTGGACGCGACGGTCAGATTGCCGTTAACTTCTGGCGCTTGCCTCCGCCCGCGCAGCTGCCTGGCGATGCAGCACGCCTCCAAACGCATGACACCGCCCCCCATCTAGGACCCCGAGTTCCATGATTTGACTTGCTCCCCACATCCTAAGTGAGATTATTGCTTTCTCTGGATACCTCCACGCAGGAACCTCACCTCACACCGCATCCCCTCCTCCTGTCGTCAATCCCATCATGATCACCGATCATCGTGATCACCCGCACACTCTCTCGCTCATTCACTCATCACCCACTCATTCGTTGTCATGCCATAGTCCCATCATGGCCAACGGCAATCATCACCATCAACCATTCACACTCCCTCTCACTCACGCGGTCACATCTACTCAGAACCCCCTCACTCAACATCACGCCATCGTCCGTTATCGTGTTATCGTCATGAATCGCGTCATCATCCCAGGTCCATACCCTCTCCTTCACATCACCAGTATTATCACCATCGCCGTCATCACTCAGATTCGCTCGCACACTCATCACCATCATTACCATCACCATGACCATCATCACACACATTATCATCGTCAGCATCATCATCATCAGCAGCATCATGATCAGCAGCAACAGCATCATCACCACCACCACCACCACCGATATCAAAGGTATCATCATCATCATCATCATCATCATCAGATCCATCCCAATCCAACATCATCGCCATCACGTCACCATCATTATCACCATCAGATCATCCAGATCAGTCACCATCACCATCATCACGTCATCATAACCATCATAATCATTGTCACCATCCAACACCATCGCCAGCACCATCCTCATCACTCACCATCACCATCATCAGCCCAGCACTACTCACCAACATTCACCATCATCATCGCCATCACCACACATGTGTCACGATCATCTTCATCATGATCATCGCCCAAAGGGGACCTTCGTCTGTGAATGAACCGCGAGGAAATCTCAGGCGGGAGCCCCACCCTTCTTATGGGGCCGGATTCGAGCGGACCATCCAAATCCCGTAACCGTAATCATGTTTGGGTTCCTCGGGCCTGAACAACACGGAAATCTCAGACGGGAGCCCCGTCCCGGAGCGAATTGCGAAGAAGCCGTTTGCGGGAACCCCTTCTATATGGGGCCCGCACTTCCTGTTCTAATCCGAACGGGTCATCTGAATCATGTAACTGTTTCCAGTTCTGGGCTCCTCTGGATTGAATTCTGAGGACGTCTCAGGCGGGAGCCTCCTCTGTGAAGAAATCGTGAGGAAGTCACCAAGCGGAGCCTATCCCGATGGGGCCCGCACTTCACGTTCGAATCCGAGGCGGACCATCGGAATATTGAAACTGTCGTCATTTTGGGGTTCCTGTGGCCTGAATATGAAGGAAATCTCGAGCGGGAACCCCCTCCCTATGGAGCCCGCGCGTCACGTTGGTAATCCGACCGGGTCGTCTTTTTAGGCTTGAATATGGAGGAAATCTCGAACGGGAGCCTCGTCTGTGAGTGAATCGCGCGTGGCGGCGCACACTTGCACGGCGAGGGGTTCGTTTTGAGGGGTCCCTTTGGTGCCGCCGCGCGCCGCTTGGGATCCACCCTGACGCACGCGTCCTTCCTGACCTCCACGCTGCGCGAGGGCATCACCATCGACTGCGCCAGGGATGAGGACGCTGGTCGCGCGGGCATGTCGGACGAGCAGTGGTGGTTGCGCCTCCACGTCATGTTCTCCCACGCCACGCGCATGCGGAACACGCTGGTCCTACGGCCGCCCACGCGAGTGTTCTTGGAGCGCGGGCCGCTGGCGCCCCTGCGGAAGGCGCTCGGGAAGTTCGACAAGCGGGGTGCGAGCTCCAGGATTCAGGCGGAGCAGCTCGCGGCTGAGCTGGGTTTCGTGCTGCCTCCCGCCTGAGCGCGGCCGCGACTAGCCTGGTGCCTGCGGGGTTGTCCAAACGGTTTGCCCCCGCGCCCCAGCGGCTCGCGGGGTTGCCCCAACGGCCTAGCCCGCAGGGTTGCCCCAACGGCTTCGCGATTTTGCCGTCGGAAAACGCACCCCTGCTGGGCGTGGCGGCGAGGGCGCCGAGGAAAATCGGCATGCG